GGTTACTCAAATTCCCTCTTTCGAGGACTTGCATACGCCGCCATCACAGAGCGACCAAAGCAGCATAAGGGTTTAGGGTTTAGGGTTTAGGGCTTAGGGCTTAGGGTTTAGGGTTTAGGGTTTAGGGTTAAGGCTTCAGGGCTTAGATTTGTTGTGTGTCTGCGTGTTCGCGAGTGTGCACAAAACTCGGTGGGACCGTGGGTCGAAGCAAGCCGGGGGGGGCCCCCTCCAGCGCCAAACCCTAAACCCTAAACCCTAAACCCTAAACCCTAAACCCTAAACCCTAAACCCTAAACCCTAAACCACCAGAAGCCGAACAGTGTGGTGCTGAAAACGTACCTTCAAACATGCCTGTGCTTGGGCTTGGGCGAAGCAGCTGGCGGCTCCACGATGTCCCAATTTTCTGCCTTTACATGCGTAACCCTAAACCCTAAACCTTGAACCCTAAACCCTAAACCCTAAACTCTTGAGAGATGCCAAATCTTTGCGTGTTTGTGTATTTGTGCTCAACCCGAGCTCCCTAAAAGCCCTAAACCCCTAAATCCTGCACCTAAAAATCTGTTTGGGAAGTTTGGGATGTCCCCCCCCCCCCCCCCCGAGAGTTAGCCAACTCCTTCCAACCGGCCAAGGCACAGACATAGCGCAGTACTATGAGGACTTGGCTACACATCTCTAAACTAAAGCTAAAGCCTTTATAACCCCCCTAACCCCTAGATAATCCCTAACCCCCAAACCCTATAAACCCTAAACCCCCCCAAACCCTACACCATAACACCCTGCACCCTAAACCCTAAACCCTCTAAACCCGAAGCCCCAAACTCTTAAACCTCCCAACCCCAAGGACTCGTAATTCCTAAAACCCCTATCAGACCTCAAGGGGTGGGGGTGGTGGAAGGAGGGACCCTGAAGTTTTAAACCCTAAACCCTAAACCCTAAACCCTAAACACCCTCAACCCTAACTGAACCCTAAACCCTACACCCTACACCCTACACCCTACACCCTACACCCTACACCCTACACCCTACACCCCTACACCCTACACCCTACACCCTAAACCCTACCCTGAACCCTTAATCCTTAACTCCTAAACCTTAAATTCTAAACCGCAAGTCGGGGATCCCGTGGGGACTGAAAAGCTGCTAAGCCACGCAACCTCAGAGAGCCCCAAACGCTGCCACCAATCCTGCTGTCCTACTGTATGAGGCCCCAGTGCCCCTGAATAAGGCCTAGGGTTTAGGGCAACTTACTGGGTCTTTGGGGGGCCCAGGTTGGGTTTTATGGCCTCCGGGTTCAGGAGTTTGGGCTTGAGGCTCCCGGTCTTGCGGGTCTTAATGAGGGTCTAGGGTTTAGGGTGTAGGGTTTAGGGTTTAGGGTTTAATCAGGACGCGAACTGCACGACCTTCTGCGCCGTGCGGGAGCCGCTGGGCCGTTTTCTGAGCGCTTTCAAGATGGTTTACCAGGACCCGAAGCTGTTCGCCCATAAGGAGCCAGGATTTAGGGTTTTAGGGTGTCTCATAGTGCCATGGCGCGACACACCCGTGAAGTGGTCGTGGGTCGCACCGTCACCGTACTGTGGAGCCCGCCCGCAACCACCCAGAGTCAAAAAACAGAGAAAGCAAACAGTAGCACCCTATCTTCGGGAGGCCCCATATGGGCATAACGTTAAGGGTTGAAACCCCTAAACCCCAAACCCTAAACCAAAGAGCCTCAGGTTTAGGGTTTAGGGTTTGGGGTTTGGGGTTTGGGGTTTGGGGTTTAGGGTTTAGGGTTTAGGGGATTCTTGCCATTGTGAGAGTTGTTCGCAGGACTGCGATCCCCAGGCTATCGAAGCCCGCACCTTCCAGCTACTTTCGGAGCTGTCCACCCGCCACTTGGCGGCAACTTGCGAGTCCTTTGGGGTTGTGAGTTGTGGGCCTTGGTCCCTCTATAAACCTATATCGCGCCCCCAACCCATCGCGCCCCCAACCCCCCCCCCCAAAGAAAAAAAAAAACATAAAAGTAAACATGATAATAATAGGACAATGATGAGTAAAAATACAACAAATGCACACAATTAGAAATCACAAATGCTTCGGCCATCCCCACCCAAAAGAATTTGGAAGCTCACTCCGGGGTTGGGCACTCCTGGCACACGCTGGGGGCTCTGGCGCTTTAGGGATTCTGTTGGGATACTTTGAGGTTGGGCACCGCAGGGATTCAATTCTGTGATTCAGAACATTCGTTCAAGACGTTCGTTCAAAACGTTTTTAGCGACCCAAACCCTATACGATTTCTATAAGTATCAAGCAGGTTTGGGCTCATAATTTCTGTTTTGAAAGAGCGGAGTCTAAAACGCAACGTTCGTTCAAAGTGTCGGCCAACAGCATCCAAACCCTAAACCCTAAACCCTAAACCCAGGTCCATACGTGCAAGACTGCTTCTTCGTACCGCAAGTCGAGCGACTTGCCCTTCTAAGGCGCTTTGGTGAACTTGAGGGGTCCGAGAAATTTGGGGATCCAGGGGCTTTAGGGTTCAGAGTTCAGGGTTTGGGGTTTAGGGTTTAGGGTTTAGGGTGTAGCGAGTCCCAATGATGCTGCCCGGTACTCCAGAAGCTTCTAGAATACTACTACATCACTATGTTCATGTGCTTTCATACCTGTCAGCTGATTGTTATTTTTCTTTGATAATGCTATTGCATCATGATGTGATTGTATGTGAGTAAGATGTTATACTCATGTACTATTATGCCATGATACTCTTGTATTTGCATCTTGTTCTGTTAGGGGTTAGGATGTGGGCAGTCGCTGATTGCAGCCTTATCTGGGGGCGACTAATTACCCGACCTACAGCAACCCAAAACCCTAAACCCTAAACCCTAAACCCTAAACCCTAAACCCCAGAGGGAATGTCTGAGGTCTGTCTATGGCGCACCCAGCAAGGCCGCGGCCACACACCAGTACTGCCAGCGCATCATCCATCAGGAGAACCTTACTCAGGAGATCCCTGGCTGCAGAGGGTTTAGGGTTTAGGGTTTAGGGTTTAGGGTTTAGGGTTTAGGGTTTAGGGTTTAGGGTTGTCCGGCGTGCGTCGCGATTAGGAATCTTTCTTCAGGCTTCTTCATGCAAGTTTCGCATCCCCATGTTTGGAAGTCTGTGTGGTGCAGGAGGTGGGCTCCCTGTCTCAAAGGGGAGCTGTGGGAATGTCTCTTTGCCTTCAACACAACATCCTAAGCCTAAACCCTAAACCCCAAACCCCAAACCCTAAACCCTAAACCCTAAACCCTAAACTTAAACCCTAAACCCCAAACCCTAAACCCTAAACCCGGAACCCGGAACCCGGAACCCAGAACCCGGAACCCGGAACCCGGAGCCCGCAGCGAGGTTCACGGAGCTCATGTCAGAGTCTTGGTAGCCTAGTGGTACCCCTTTACCCTTTTCTTTGTGTATGGCTTCCCTTATAAAATAACCAACCCAAAAAGGGGTTTAGGGTTTAGGGTTTAGGTTCTAGGGTTTAGGGTTTAGGGTTTAGGGTTTAGGGCTACGAAGGAGTATGGGCGCAACGTAGAGCTGCCCAATGAAGACCTGATGTCCAACTGGACCGCCCACTGCAGCACGACTGTCGACGACCTGACCCCTGCAACGAAACGAGCAGTCTACGAGTGACTGGGACCTCCAGCGTGTCGCTCTTTTTGTTCACGATAAACTGGAAAATGATCTGAAATACATGTCTAAAATCTGGTTTATTTGTGAGTTTTGCTTTCTTTGACTAGGTTGAATTTGTCCCCACCAACCCTGCAGCCGCCTTGAACCTGCCACAAGGTACTGGCCTGAAAGCCTGGAAACCCAAGCTCCAAAACCCTAAACTTTCCTGAATACCCAGACTCCTAAGCCCTATAAACCCATGGCTTAGGGTTTACGGCTCACGGTTTTGTGACTTCGGGAGTCAGTTGAAGCAGGCACTACAAAGAAGACTACGTGGCTTTCGGCTACCCCAAACCGGCCTTCTGATCTTTCCTGGCCGAGCATGCTGGAGGAAAAGCGCGGTCAGTCGAGAGTCTGGGGTTAAGCTGCCAAGGGGCTCATCAACATGATCATGAGGGTTTAGGGTTGAGGGTTTAGGGTGATATTGGCGGTCATGGTAGGAACTTACTGTTCTTCTTTGTTAAGAACAAGAACCCTAAACCCACAAGCCAGCTTTGCGATGGCGCACGCTCACAGCCGGCGACAGGTGCCCATGATCTACATGAGTACCTGGGTTAGGCGTCGTGGAGCTTGCCGAAACGGCCCCCACATCCTCTACCACCAACCTTCCAACCCCCGAGAACCCTAAGCCACCCACAGGGCCATCCCGCCCACAACTGAGAAGCCTCTGCTCCGAAAAGCGTATCTTGGTGCCCTAAACCCTAACGGGTTCAGGGCTCGAAAGCCCGAGCCCTACGGTGGCTAGCGGCTAGCGGGGAGCACGACTGACAATTCCCTTCGGAGAGAGCTGCGCACATTCGGGCTTATCGAAACCAGGCCAAAGCAAGTTTAACCCCCTGCCCCTAAACGCAGGAAGCTGCAAGAGCACCTGAAACACCCCTGAACCCCAAACCCTGAACCCTAACCCCCAACCCTAAGAACTCTTCAAGCAGACGGAGCCCTGAACTGCACCGCCCGGAATCGATGCCAGCTCAAACCGTAAACGCCGTAAACCCCCTAAATCCGCTCCTCCAGCCCAAGTTCTTGCACAGGGTTTAGGGTTTCGGGTTTAGGGTTCAGGGTTTAGGATTTAGGGTTAGGGTTAAAGCCCTCCCAACATAACGACTTCGTAGGTGCATGCAACCTCCCATGTGGGGGGTGGGGGTGGGGGAGGGGGCAAGGGAAGGAGGGGATTCTGCACCCTGTGAACGACCTGAAGGGCTGCAAGACCCCTCGTCCCAAAACCCTGAACCCTAAAACCGAAACCCTAAACCCTAAACCCTAAACCTTAAACCCTAAACCCTAAACCCTAAACCCTAAAGCGTCCACAGCTCTGGGAGGTGACGAGAAGAGAGCGCAGCCGCTGGGACTGCCAGGGGCGCACAGAGGTACCTGAACGTTTCATGACATTGTCGTTTCATGTAGGGGTCGGAATAATTGAGGGTTAGGGTTTAGGGTTTAGGGTTTATGGTTTAGGGTTTAGGGTTTAGGGTTTAGGGTTTAGGGAATAATTGCGAATCGTATTCGCTCATGGCCCCTTTCTGATTATACCATAATAGCCCCCAAGACCATATTCTACTTGTTCATGCCCCTTTATTCCCTCCGTGCCTGTCCTGGCATCTGCTTTTGGTGGCTCTAAAGGCATAAGCCCTGAGCCCTAAACCCTTCTGATCTAAGGCTTTCGTGCTTCTTCTGCTTCTTCTTCTTTGGGCAGGGAGTGGCATTCTCGCTCTTATACTCCTGCCGGAAATGAATGTACAAGAAATCGCCGTGCTGTTGCAAATAGAAGGTACCGGCCTTCACGGGAGAGAATGCTGCTAACCCAATGTTTCACTGTATTCGCTTGTACTCCCGAACGCTCCCTACGCTTGCCCCGAGTCCTAAGGGCCCCCTTCCTCAAGGACCCTTTATCATTCCCTGCTCCCCAAACTTAGTTGCGGAAGACCAACAGCTTTGCACATGTTGAGGAGGACTACAACTTCACCAGTACCCTAAACCAAACCCACAAATCACAGGACAAAACATGAAACCACTCACACCGAAGGCAGCAGCAAGGTAGCCGGGCACAAGCCACATTTTCACAGAATCTTGAAGTTAACGTCGAAGGTTGCTACACAGACACCAAGATTCTCCAGGATAGTCCCCAGCATCTGCGACGCAACTGGGGTTTAGGGTTTAGAGTTCAGGGTTGTTTGCTGCACTTTGTCCGTTTACCCCCCCCCCCCCCACTCCACAGGTCCATAAGCTTTAGCCCTAAACCAGTGTTCGCGTGCCATGCCGCGCGATGCCTTCCTCCCTGCTCAAAGCTGCACCGAGACAACCGAACCTCGTGTCCTCTTCCGAAACCAGCTGCCTTAAGTGCAGGCTCAGAAAGGGCTTCAATCACAAAGGCTGGCAACTACAAGCTCTCAGCCTTCCTAGGCTTGAGAGTCACATGGGGTCTGTAGGATTTGCGGTTTAGGGGCCCTCTTTGATCGCCACACGTTTAAAGAGCCCAATTGGCTCCCCCAACCCTTGGGTCATGGCGCAGCCACAGCGCTACACGGCCCCTGGCACCGTGCAGCCGCTCCGCGCGCCCTCGCAACCCGCGGGCCGAGTATTGGCCGAATTGGGGGAGGTTTAGGGTTTAGGGTTTAGGGTTTAGGGTTTAGGGTTTAGGGTTTAGGGTTTAGGGTTTAGGGTTTACCCTAAACCCTAGACCCTTTTTAGGGATTAGGGCTTAGGGATTTGGGCTCAGGGCTTCATAAACTACGTATGTTTGTGGTTATTATTATTATCATTAGTTTGTATTAGTATATGTTCACTATAATAACTATATATAGATACAAAATTAATGAAGGATGCGACGCGTCCCAGATTGAGGCACAAGGGACGCACCGGAGCCCCATAACCTGAATACTAAGCCCTCCACCCTAAACTGGCGTTTTTGAACCCTGAGCTTAAACCTCAACACCTAAACCCGAACACCCCCGAAGACTGAAGCCCTATACCCTGCACCCCAAACCCCCAAACCCCAAACGAAAAATCCCAAACCCCAAACCCTAGACCCTAAACCCTAAACCCCACATCGGGCGCCCAGCAGAGGCCTGATCTCGGAGGAGGAGTTAAAGACGGAGAGGGAGCGCTGGCGACAGACTGTCATGCACGAGGTCGGGGCAGGTTTAGGGTTTAGAGTTTAGGGTTTAAGGTTTACGGCTTAGGGTTTAGGGTTTAGGGTGTAGGACCCCAAGGTTAGGGTTTAGGGTTTAGGGTTCAGCCCTCCTCAACCCCAAAGGTGTCTAGACTCCGCGCTGGACCCTATGCCCCAACCAGGTTGCCGAGCCCAAAGACCATAAATGTGAAGCCCAGCCTCATGGAGAACGAAAACCTGAGACCCCCAACCTGAACCCTAAGCCCTAAATCGTTGGTCATTTATGTATTATTCTGATTTAACAACATATTCCTCAACCCCCAACCTTTCCAACCCTGCATCCTAAACCAACAAATAGGGTTTAGGGTTTAGGGTTTAGGGCTTAGGGTTTAGGGTTTAGGGTTTAGGGAAACTACTGTAAGAGAGGGAGCCACGGCATGCCTTAACCCAAGATCCAAACTCCAAACCGCCTTTGCCCTGAGCAAATCAGCTGCAACTTGTTTAGGGCTTCAGGGTTTAGGGCTCAGGGTCTCGGGTCTAGGGGTCTCTACCCTACAACACTCAGCTTGACTTGATAATCCCCGACAGAACTGAAAGTGTACACTTTTTTTGAGTTTTTTGGGGGGGGCTTCTGAACTCAGCAACTAAACGCTAAACCCTAAACTCTAAACCCTAACTAAGTTCAGAGGTCTGGAACCTGGAGAACGCGGCCTTCGAGCGGATCAACGGCAAGCTGGAGGAGTCCAAAGTGCGTCTTGCGACTCGACGTGCTCTCAACCCTCAGCCCAAAGCCCTAAACCCTAAACCCTAAACCCCAAACCCCAAACCCCAAACCCCAAACCCCAAACCCCAAACCCTCAACCCTAAACCCTAAGCCCTAAGCCCTAAACCCTAAACCCTAAACCCTGTCCTAGGGCTCCCTTCGCTGTCACAAGTCCGGCAGAGGCTCTTCAGTAGAATTGTTTTGCTGTTTCCCATGTCTTTCTATTTTTAGGGGGTTCCTCTTAAACTACAAGTAAGCCAAACAATTGTATGCACTGCAAGGCCTAGCCTTCAACTCAAAACCGCAAACCCCCAAAGCCCCAAACCCCCAAACCCCACTCTGAGGTTTCTGAGGTGAGGGTTTCAGGATGTTTTTGGGTGTCTTCAGGGTCGAAGAGGCCGGACTTCGACTTCTTCGCGTTGAGAGAGTTTGGGCCCATGGGGTTTAGGGTGTAGGGCTTCGTCCCTACTTCAACCCGACGAGTACTTGGCTGGGGCTAAGGGTTTTAGCGTTTAGGGTTTAGGGTTTTGCGTTTAGGGTTTAGGGTTTAAGCCCCCCCCCCTCCCCCCCGAAGAAGGGCGTGGGGTGCAGGGTCGCCTTTATTGCACTATGGCTACTGCGCTATACAAAGCTGTTGAGATGTTTCGGCTGTTCGCTGCCTCAGGGGCTAAGGGTTAAGCTCCTCTGGTTCAGGGTCCAAAGGGCGGGAGGACCAAACCCTAACCTAGAAGGGGGGGGAGAAGGGGGGAAAGGGGGGAAATCAGCCAGAAGCTTATGGATCAGACCAGGCTAAGGTAAGGGCTTAGGGTTTAGGGTTTTGGGTTGAGCTGGGATGGTAATGACAAGAGCAGTGATGGAAGCGCCAGGGGGTAGTGGATAGGTTGAGTGTACCCATTTGAGGTTTATCGGGCTTTTGGGGTGACCAAAAGGGTTTGCGGGCTTCCGTTTGCCCGCATCACCCTGAGCCTAAAGCCCTCATAAACCCTTACGAACGCAAACTGCCAAACGCCATGTGTCAGGCGAACGAAGTCACGCAGCAGGTCATGAAGCAAGTGCTGGAGCACGTGGAGGCAGCGTGGTGTAGTTTTTGCAGAGTTTACCTTATCACTGTTATCAGGCAAGGTTCCTTCATCAACCCACTTAGTCAAAAGGCCTAAACCCTAAACCCTAACCCCTCAAACCCTAAACCCTAAACCCGAATCCCTAGTCCCCAACCCCTAGCAGATGCTGGAGTAGAGAGAGGTTCAAGGAACTCCCAAAATCAACATCGGGCCGAAGCTCCATAGACCTTATATCACGAAACTACTCCTTGGTAGCCCAGTGGTACCCTTTTCACTTTTTTTGGTTCAAGGTTCCCTTATCAGTTAACCAACCAAAAAGGTAGTATGCTTACTGCGGTACCAAGAAACTTGGGGTTTAGGGTTTGGGTTTAGGGCTTAGGGCCCTCTTGAGTTCTGAAACGAATGCCAATTTCACTACCTTCGTTGAAGGGTTCTGAAGTATGGGCCCTTTGGTTGTATAGGCCAGGACCGGGAGTAGGCTCTGTTTTCCTTTTTTTACGGTTGGGGTTCCCTTATAATCCCCTTAAAGCCAAAAAGGGCACACGTGTTATTCCTAGGCTACTCCCGGGTCTAGTAGGGTATGCAAAGGGTATACAAGGGGTCCCCACTTGAGGGCCCACTGTTGGAGTTTACAAACGTTCCGAAAGAGTGTACTCCTGAATGTATCTTAGGAACCTCCCTAAACCCTAAACCCTAAAACCTAAAACCCTAAACCTGTTTTGGAAACTGGGGTGCGTTTTGTCTCGCAGGCGGAGCGCACCCAGCGCACCAAGGAGCCATACTTGCTGGGGCTCTTGAAGGTTCTTGGGGTTTGGGGTTTGGGGTTTGGGGTTTAGGGTTTAGGGTTTAGGGTTTAGGGTTTAGGGTTTAGGGTTTAGGGTTTAGGGTTTAGGGGGCTTTGTGGTGGGGTTTTTCAGGGGTTTCGGGGTTTCTGGCTTGGGGTTTTGGGGGTTAAGGGCTTACGCTTACCCTAAACCCGAAACAGAATCTCCAAACACTAAACCCCTGAAGTCAACCCAGATTTTTGTGAGTCTGGTTTGGGAGTTGGGAGTTTGCGGGCGGCGGGGGCCCGGGGGAGGGGGGGGGGGGTCGTCGCAAATTTGGGCCGCCCAGAGTCTGCATTGTAGCATCTTCCTTCGAGATTTTGGTATATCGAAGGTTTGGGGTGTATGGTTTGGGGTTTAGGCTTTAGGTTTTAGAGTTTAGGGTTCAGGGTTTACGGGTTTTTAGGGCTTCTTTGGTTTGATGTACAAAGTGTTTCACGGCGCTTCTTTGTCAAACCCTATGCGGAGGCCTCTTTGGGGGTTGGGGTTTAGGGTTTTCGGTGCTGAGTACATAGGGTTTAGGTTCTAGGAAACCTCACCCTAGACCCTCACTTTGTAGAAGTTTT